GAGTAGGTTCGTGAGGTCAGCACAGTGCGTTTGCTCGACTAAACAATCAGACGAGTTATCATGATGCGATAAAAGTTATGGCTTGGAAGGCCGCAAACTGCCAGGATAACTCGGCCCCCCCCCCTATCAGGACAGAGAGTCAGGCTGCAAGGACTCCCTACTGTGACCTATACGACACCTACGTTCAGTTGGGATCCATGCCGACCACCTCATGTTTCCGTGATTACCTGGTCCACCATGCGCGGACCGGGCGAACGTGAAAGGCTCGGACGGGTTGTTTAGCCTTGTCACCCACTGCGATCGATTCAGTCCCTGGTCTTCTTGAACTTGTCTTCCTACCGAATTCAGGTGAGCTGGGAGAAGAGAGTGCGTGAGATGTAACTTAAGTCAACCATCACCACAGACTAATTCATACCCCAATTACTGTCCCCTCCCCCTAACTCGCTGTGGGTAAAGGGTAAACATAATTCATGAGACTGTCAGTACAACGGAGAGGAAGGATGGACTGAGCCGGATTCAGGATATGTCTCCCCGTGGCTAATCGCCACTTTCCACGAAGTAATAAATCCGGTGCGTCTGAAACTAACCCAATGAAAGAAATTGTGACATTGTTTAAACCCGGTCCTTTAATGAAACCTGAAAAGACTGCCTTGAGTTATTAAAGACACTTTTAATCGACGATGTATGTAATAATATAATCGTCCTGCGCACTTGACGAGCCGGCCGATGTCTGCATTTTGCGGCCTTTAGAAACAGTTACGAGAGTTTTTATAGCGATAAGCCATGCTCGTCAATCATTTACGAGGGTTTTCTAGCCCTCTTGAATTTCTTGTGGATGCTTGAGATCTATCCTCTGGATGCCCTTAAATCGTCGTATCAAATTGCCTTTCTTTCTTCTACACTAATGACGTCACTGAAGAATAGTCGTTTGGATGGCTGTCTTACATACGACCGATCTAGAGGCGCTTGGAACGCCGCATTTTTCCTGGGTCTCCGCATCTGAGAATGACTCCCGATACTTCTTCTGCAACATCCTGTTGAGACATTTGATGCGAAAATTGCTTAATTTTCTGGTCCAGCATTCCAATGCTGTACATGTCTACACAACATAATGCAGGTAGGACGGAGTCCAAAACATACTCGTTTTCACTATGCGTGCGATGATCTTGCGATTCTGAAATGAGTATTACAGTTCGCCGAAGGCCTATTTAGTTCCGAAAACCTGCTTCTCAAGTTTTCTGTTTCCTTGGATGGTATCCACCATATGCACAAATTCACCCTCACCTATGAGGCGCCTTACAGCAACACTTGCAAGAAGTCCACTTCATTCCTTATCTGGACTCCAATTGGAACATATCTGCTCTCTTCTCCGTTCATACGGCTAGTCTAACCTCTAAGAAACCGGACAAAAAATCGGCGCATGTGTTTGCATCGGTTGCGAGGTTCAGTGCATAAAGTCTGCAAACAGGATGCTTTGAGCATAGAAATTGGGCAGAATGGGATATTGGGCGCTTTGGTATATGCCCATCAGTCCGGTAGTCAATGCTGATTTTGCAGTCTCTCTTCGCGGCAGGCGACCATTAGCATGATAGAGAACTTGGAGGTTAGGAGGGAAAAAGCGAGCAGTGTACCTAACAGCCTCACGCTGGTCGACACAAATGCTCCGGAGACTAACTCATTCTCTTTGGTGCGGTCAAACATGGCGTTGTACACCCGACCGAAGATTTGTTTTCATCGTCTCCAAAATTGACAATCCAGCACGACTTTTTGTAGTCCATTATGATTTATAGTACCAAAAACCTCTGTCAGATGGAGAAGGGTTTTGCAGAGGCTGATCCTCAGATCTTGACGCCATTCTTGTTGCTGAAGAGCAGCGAATATTCTAGAAGTGGATCGACGGTGGTTCCAGAGTCCGAAATGCATTGCTGAAATTGGTGTGCCAGTTTCCTGGTGGGCGTGTCGGCGATTGCGGGTCCGCAAGGCAGATCCAGCGAAATGTGTTTCGGTCCTACTGGTTTTCTTTGAGCAGGTACGGGTGAGGAGAGACTGCGTCCTTAAAACCTAACGGAATTGGTTTGTGTGACAAGATCCCCGGAAATCGTTAGCCATGTATGCCCAGCAGTTTAAGACTCAGAGAGTTGAGAAAAAGACGCTTTCACTAGAGCCTTATATGGAGCCGTCTCTGATGAGTCGTATGCGTGTTCATCCGGCATGTCAGGAGACTAAAAGTCCCCTTTGGCGATCGCCCGTCTTTCTTCTCGATTGCTTCATGAAACTTGGATTTTTGACTTGCATCAACCACTCTGTTGGTAGACTTTTAGTGAATTTCGTTCGCCGTCCAGCTCTTTTCCACCAAATATCTCTCGCACTGCCCTCCTTCAGGATGAGCGGGAGATCTAAGTCCGAATTCGCCTCCTCCTGGAGAAGTACGTTGACGGTTACAGCGCCAGTCGCAGCTGGGTGTCTCAGAATGCATTTGAACTGCACGATCCCCGACAGTATGGCTGCCGCATTTCGGTTGATCCCAAACCCATCTCCCGTGGACTGAAAAGTACTACATTACTTTAATGATCGAGAAAATTTCCTCCACCTAACTTCAGTCCGCAAATCTCCATACTTCCTCTGTCTTACCAGTCAGCCGGTCAATTTTCCTTCCTCCACCATTTGCGGCAGTATGATTTGACGTCATGGCTATACGCTTTATTGATGTCGGCGCTGTTGCTGGCAGAGAGCATTCACAATGTGCTTTTTTCGAAGTTGATACATCGATTTTCTTAATTGTTGACGTTAAAGAAGTCTTTGTGCTGGGAACGTGATTATCCACAGACTTACAAAACACCAGCGTGTTTAGCGTCCAGCAAGTTACTTTCATTTTTTCCCAACCTCGTGACTGTCGTCTTCGCTGTCGTCTCAGTCCTCCTCCTCCTCCTCCTCCTCCTCCTCCTCCTCCTCTTCCTCCTCCTCCGCCTCCTCCACGTCCTCGTCCTCGTCCTCCTCGTCATCCTCCTCCTCGTCCTCGTCCTCCTCCTACTCGTCCTCCTTCATCTCTTCCGCCTCCCCCTCCTCCTGCTCCTCTTCCTCCTCTTCTTCCTCCATCTCCATCTTCTATCTCCTCCCCTGTTCTCAATGAAATGACTTCTTTTTGGACTTATCTGCGCTCAGACCTATCGAACATCAGATCCTTTAAACTTCAACGTGCTTTCTTACCTCCAAGCCGCCGTCGGCGGGGCTGGTGATGCGCCCTGACTTTCGAGATGACAAGGTTGTGGCATGTCCCGCATTTCACTCTGTGCATCGCCTTCTGCTAGGCAGATCGGATTGTTGCTTCATGATGTCGTTTTTGACGGCGCTGGCGACACCACTGTGTCGTCACTGTTTCTGTGGGCGTCATTCCCGGGGAAGATGTATCACTCATATGCATGATTTACCTCTTCATGCTCAAGTGGGTGGTTCTGTCGGAAAGCCCAGTGTTTACTTTCCAGCGACCACAATAGTGGGTAACTAGGACGGCTATCTCGCGAAATTTTAACCGAAATTTTGAAATGTATTTTCTATTAGGACGAATTACATAGGTGAGGTTGAAATATTTATTATCACGTATCGTAATCCCATTTCGGACTTGCCAGAATGTTGACTTTTGAATCTGCCCCTTTTCGACCATCCGCAGAAACCGCGCTCGGCAAAAAGTGACTACTTGAGTGACGTGCACTTTTCACGATAATTTTCGACGACCTTGTAAATCCAAATATACTCTTTAAAAAACATGCACAAAACATCCTTTCCTTTGACCTTTGGTAGAAGATCACGCCGCGTGAGAATTAATATTTCAACTCCACCTATATAATCCTTCCTAACAGGAAATGCATTTCGGAATTTCGGTTAACATTTCAAGAGATTGGTTACTGACTTTATTTTTTTGACCCTCTGCCCCACACCCATAAGCCACAGTCAGCTTGGACAATGGCATGATCACCAATAATTCAGGGGCATTTTCTAGCCTCTTAATTAGCCGAATCAAACAGCGTCTTTCTAAATATATCTTCCGAACTTCTCTGTGGGTTATGGCCTTCAAATAACGAGAATATGGACCAAACTATTATAGGCAACCTACGGGATTGCATTTTTCTCAAATAGGTGTGGTAATCTGGCAGACGGAGAGGCACACACATACCGGAAAGTTTTGTCTGGTTTAACCCGCCGACCAAGGGTGCTATATCGTGGAGTTATAATTGAAATATGGTGTCAAAGCAGAGCAATTTAGAAGTATTATCTAATTCTATTCAGTTATTTGGCTGGACCACCTATGAAGCACCATTGGGTGGACTAACAAACATTTTGGTGAACCTAAAGTGGCGGGGCCAAGCAAACGCGAGTTCCAACCCATGATACCTTCTACATCTCATATTACACGTCCCCCGTATTATCAAATCGCACAGCCCTTTAAAATTTCTGAAAGAAGTCCGAGAGCTGATGTCGTCATTGAGTTTTTATAACTTGGCCACTATGACATTGTCCATAAACGTCTTCCACCTTGTCTAAATAGCAACATTAACAATGAAAACCAGGACTTAACCATACTATTTGCGATTATTGCTGTGGAGTGTCGCATACTTCTTTTTGGTCGGAGAAGAAGCAAACTGTGTCTACTATTTCTTGAATAATGACCTAAAAATTTCAGTCGGTGTCAAAAGATTGGTTGACTGGAAGTAGTGCTGTTTTAACTCGTTTGCACAGTAGAGGGAAGACGACACTACTGATGACTACAGGGACACATTGACCACACAAGAGTAAGTGTGATCAATATGAAAGAACCATATGGACTACTTCATCGTTTAGGAATCGACAGGTTGATGACAGTGTGTAGTATAAAGTGAAATATCCTTTGGATTGGCTTAGACCACCACCACCCCCTTTGTTCTCTAATATAAATTTTTGTAGATGAGGTGGAACCGACAAAGACAAGGGAGACCGGAATGACCATTTCTGGCTTATTAGCCGTCATCAGCCAGTCATACACAACCCCAAGTGCGGAGCCCTTGAGATTCGTATATTTTTGTATATTTGACCCCACAAAGCAAACATATTTGGTAATTTGACATAACAAAGTAAGAAAACTTTCAAGAAGGACCAAAAAGTTATCAGCATGGACGACTGATTAGAACATGTCTTCTCTGCGTTAGTGATCCACTGCAGTAGCATTATTAATCCTGGGAATTTTGCGGTTGACCTAGGAAATGAAACTCTCATTCGCGTTCATAGAAAAGAAGAAATGTTAAGAAAAACAAGGAAATCTAGAATTATTCGTCTCCAACATAGTAGTCGATGTCAGCCAGTACCGTCTGCTTTCCTTCTGAGAAATTAGTGGTCGCTACGCTACTGCCTGCCCTCCCAGACAGGTTCCGCCACCGGACTGGCGAACTTTTTCCCTGATGACGAATATTCCCAATTCCTAACCGACATGACAGCAAGCCCATGGCTCGATGACAGACCACTGGATTAAACACTCGATGATCAGAGAAGCCGCAATCAAATCTCAAGTTACCCAAGCCTGAGCCCCCTCCTTACCGAGAGGAGCCAAATTGGCAAGCGATGACTAAAAGTCTACCATATCAGAATGCAAGAGCCTAAAAATTATTTCCCGCTTAGTTGACGCCGTCGACCGAATAAATCCTAATCCCGTATCGTTTGAAGACCAGTCTGATGAGCACATCGGTACCTGGCAAACAGACATTTCTGTTGGTAATCACAAATGGTGAATCTGGCCTTCCCAGTGTCCCGCGTTGCCGAAAGTTAGGGAAGCCTATCCGCGTTATTTTTAGATGGCTAGTTTGCCGGCTGGGGATTTCCGACTAACCCTTTAGGGGTTCCTAATATCTTCCCTTTTTATTACTATCAATGCGTCTTAGTAAGATACCTAGCCTGTTAATGAACTTTGAAACGATTGGAAGCTTTGTTAAATAATGCATACGTTTTTAGTCAAGTCGGTGCTTTAGATGTGGCCGTTGTGAATGGTGATACTAAATTTACAACAATAAAACTTGCTGAATAGAAGTTAGTGTGCTCACATTATAGGATTCATGAATTCAACATTTAAATCGTATAGGAAATACAACATGTTTTCCGCCCTTGAAAGTAGGTTCAGGAAACATTTTTAAAGACTACTTCAATAGATTACATAAAAAACGACCAAATTCCTCATGTAGTTTACGAAGAACGTTTCAAAGCAGCGTCATGTGCGTTCGATTTTAGTTTAGGAATGAAGCCATGATATTTCAAAAATGCAAAAGGATGATTCTAAAACTATAGGCAGCAAAGTTAGGGCTATTTAGGCATAAAATATGGAATTTCCAAATCGAATTTTCTTCAAAATTAATCATCCTTTTTAAGGAAAAGTGGTTTCATTACTGCTTGTGAGGTTTCCTAAAAGTGCAGACCTTTAGTAAGGGCTTATTATAAGAATTGTCAATTCGCTTTACAAGAACAATGGAGACTGATGTTAGAAAATAAAGAGGAACTACTATCGCTTTTTAACTTCAACATTGCATAGTGTGCTTTTAGACATGCACTGAGTGGCCGATCTCATGAAAAGTTGGCCAAAATTCTGAAGTGCGTTTTCGGTTCGGGAGGATTACTAAGGAGGATTTGTAAAACTGATTATCTTGCGGCATAATCCTATACCATCTCTGACTCTGCAGGATATCCATTTTCGAATGCATCTCTTTTCGACCTCCTGTAGATACTGTAATCGGTAAAGAATGGTTATTTAAGTAGCATGCATTTTTCACATTGATTTTCGATGGTCTTATAAATTCAAATATACTTCAGAAAAAAACGTGGAAAAAAGCTTTATTTTACTCATTTGACAGAGAAGCGTGTCATCTTTATATTATATACCTGAGGAAGTTTCTAACTATGACATTTTTAAGAGGAAGGGATATAATTAGGTTTTTAAAAAGTTTCTAATTATGACATTTTTAAGACCGTGTAATGTCTATTCACCCAGAATCATAGCTGTCCGTTTACAACTGCTCCCCATGAAACGTGCATCCATTGTTGAATTTTATGGAGTCTGTATGGTATCTCTTTAAAGGCATCAAAGAGTGCATGATTTTCCATAAACGGAACGCATGAACTCTGTAGACTGAATTCGCTAAGCGCCAATGTGACGGCTGATCAGCCTCTAAATTATTGGGGAATTAGAAGACTTTTAAACCTAATTTTGTCCCTTATTCAAGTATACAATATAAAGATGACAAGACTTTCTGTCAAATGCGTAAAATAAAGTTTTTTATCCACGTTTTTCATGAAGAATATTTGAATTTATAAGACCATCGAAAATCAATGCGGAAAACGCATGCCAATTAAATAACTATTCTTTAACGAGTACGGTTTCTACAGGAGGTCAAAAATAGGTGCATTCAAAAGTGGATATCCTGCGGAGTCTGAGATGTTGTAGGATTGTGCCGCAAGATAATCAGTTTAACAAGTCCTCCTAAATAATCCTCCCGAATCGAAAAGGCATTTCGGAATTTTGGCCAACATTTTATGAGATTGGTCACCAACTGTACATGCTGGGAGATTCATAGACTTCTCAAGAAACTCCGACCCTGACTACATGTCTTTACAATCAGAGGTACTAGATTTTACTTCCTACCTTAATTCTTAGTGTGATTTTCAGATAACGGTTACTAATATTTTCGAAAAGGTTGTTTTTTTTTAAAAGTAATGAAATATAGCTGGATTTTCTGAAATTGATGAGATACTGTCCTGACTTTGCTTTTAGATGGGCCTGTCCGTATTCAGTTGCATAGAATGTACCAGTCACACGTTCGACCCTTCTTATTTACCAGGGCGAGTCCCGAATTAGGTTTTGTAAGATATGCAGCATTTGAGTGTTATGTGGTGTTACCCAAAACTTTATTTAATGGTAGTGAATTAGTTATATGGATTAAAAAAGATCCAAAATACTGGGTTTCAAAAAAGCGTACAAGAGCCCCTTCTACAGCACAAACCACAACCAATAACATTAATTAGACAACGCTCTCCGGCTAAAAAACATTCCGATTATGTTAACAAATCGAAAGAAGCTACTTTTTAAAGGCCATCTTACATGCCGTTATATCCTTATGT